AAGGGGAACAAATCTTACTGAATGTACTATAGTTAGTTGTCGCCCACAACGCCATTGGTGAGCAAAAAAAACTTAATTAGAAGCCTACATAGGCTACTAATTAAGTTTTTTTTTAAACTAAGAACACATACTCTTCCTGAGTACGTTCTACATCTATGCCAAATTTCAGCAAGATCCATGCAGCCGTTCTGGAGATACCTTCTTTTAGACATTATTATTATAGAATAATTTAGAGCGAATAGCGCGCTTTCGCTACCAAGTCAAGTGTCAGAATGATTAGGTAGGGGACATGTTGCGCCAGTACACCGGCACAGTGTCGGATTTTCTTCCCAAAAGTTCTAACAATCCATTTATAATTCGCTTAATTAGTTATCAAACTGGCATCACACGTAAAATTGTAAACGTTCGATAAATTGTATAGTTACAAACAAATAGATTTAAAAATCACAGATAAAAAAATCCTTCACGTGTTTAGAAACTTTGTCTATGTCACTGTCTGAAAAAAAAACAGTAAAGAGGTTTTTATTGCTCTAATTTTCCTCCTTTCATTCTTAGAAGCATTATTTACTTTAGAATAGAATTTAACTAAGTGACTAAATAAGGACTGCCCATTAGTGTCATGCAAAAAAGTCTAACTAGAAAAATAAATCTATAACTGATTGTAATAAAACCCGTGAAATTAAATGGGTTTTTTTCATTGAATTAAACTCAATTGTTTCTCGTGATCTTACCAAGGTATCCTTTATTAGATTAATCGTTGGTTTCTGAGACCCATCAGTATAAAACATATCTTCATCCCTGTCAGTATCTTTGACAAAATAGATATGATTTAAACGGTGATTTTGGTCATGGAAACTCATCATAAGTGCCTATTTGACAAGAGCCAAGAGATATTTTTTTTTTGTTAAATGTAGTAAAGAAATTTAAGTACTATGTTTGAAGTTTTGCTTAAAAATAAAATTTGATTTTGTGTTTAATATCAGTAGATGGATGGACACTTAGTAAAGACTTTATTATATGATACTAGTTGTCGCCCGCGATTCCGTCTGCGCGGGATTAAAAAATAGATGTTGGCCGATTCTCAGATCTAATCAATACACTCACAAAATTTCATGAGTATCGGTCAAGCCGTTTCGGAGTATGGGAACGAAAATTGTGTCACGAGAATTTTATATATAAGATGACACTAGCTGTCGCCCGCGAATCCTTCCGCGCAGGATTTAGAAAAAAACAAAATAAGTAGCCTATGTGTTCTTCCAGACTTTGTTCTATATGTGTGCCAAATTTCATCAGAATCCGTTCGGAGATACCTTCAAACAAACATCTATCCATCTATCCATCCATCTTAACTTTTGCATTTATAATATTAGTAAGAAGATTTAGTTTTTTTATTAAGTGTATTTATTTAATTCCAATGAAAAGTAATAATAATTAGTATTACTTGAGTTAGTTTAAGAGTTGTAATAGATGATTGACAAACAACGTCAATATAGCACCTTGTCAATAATTCATATCTCTGAAAGTAATTTCAAGGTCAATCAAAGGTCAATACAAAATTTAATTGAAAGCATTACGTAAAATAAACGTTCAATAAAAATATAATTTTCTTAAGAAGTTATTGACCTCAAACATGCAAAGTTATACTCGATTCATAATTCTGAGAATGAGGTTGAATTAAAAACAAATACTTTTTACTCTTTGACATGATATTTTATGACATAATCGTGTAATTATTCTTTCCAATTATAGATAATTTGTAGTAAAAATTGTTTCTTTCATGCCAACATTAACGATAATTCAATCCGCTTATTTACATTACAATTATTTTTAAATATTTCTTATTTCATGTAAAAAATTTAATTAAAAGATCCTTTAATAGCATACAGAGGAAAATAAACAATAGGTCACTTATATAAAATATTCTTTTTATAGAAACTCTTTAGTAAAATAAGGCTATGAAACATGCGAAAGTAACACTATCTTTCTCTAGATGTCGAAAAAGGGCATGGGCTACTTTTCAACGCGAAAAAAGTGTTGGGATGGGTTGAAAATGGGGTTGGAAATTTGTTTGAAAATATCATCATTTTTACAGGCAAAACATTAAAAAATTTTAGGCTAATTTAATATAAATAAATCTGATATTAAATAAAGTTTTACCCTCAAGGGTGCAAAATAACAATAGAGAATAGGTTATGTATATAATCTTAATAATAATAACAAAATATTAAAGAATGTCTATTGTAATTAATGTATTAAATGAATATAAATAAAAAATTGTCTGACGCAAGGAACACGGTAGCTGCATCATTGTTTTTTTATGCACATTCTATTAGCGTGTGTATAATTACATAGACTTGATGATGAATATGGAATGCACCGGTTTTGTAAAACTATTACAATTGCAATAAAAATAATACTGGCAGGTATGTACTGAGGAAAATTTCTTATAAAATTACGTTATAAAATTCGTTTATTCGAAATTCAAAATCGGACATCCATTCTCAAAACAAAAGACTTTTCTTGTAATTTTTTAAAAAGAGAAGATAGAATTGCTTATCTTACTAATATTATAAATGCGAATGTTTAGATTAATGGATGTTTGTTTGAAGGTATCTTCAGAACGGCTGAACGGATCTCGGTGAAATTTGGCACAGGTTTAGAACATATTCTGGAAGTACACATAAGCTAATAATTAAGTTTTTTTTTAATTCCGCCCGGACGGAATTGCGGACGACAGTTAGTTTTATGTGTTATTTTATAAAATGTTAAAATGACTTTGTCCGAATTGTTGAAGACCGAATTTCAATTTTAAAAAAACTTATTTGAATGGAAATGAAAGAAAGGGTCCTAATTACTTTTTAATTATCATGAATTTAGAAAAGCACTCCTAGTAGAATATTGTACAGTAATACAAAAGTGAACTTTATACCCACAAAGGGCAAATAAGTACATTGTCATAAACTTATGTTTTTAATTGATTCACTTGAAGATTGTAATTGTAGAACCGGATTATAATTGTTCATTCAGACTTTGTTGGATATTAAATAATTCGCGTAGTAACGTTTTTATTGTTATTTATTGTACCTAAACACTAAAAGCCCTAAGTGCGCAATATATAATTGTTAGGTTAGGTTAGTAGCAGACATTTTTCATGGCCTTGCCATACAGTGCGGATATTTTTTTTATATCATAAGGTGGCAAACGAGCGAGCGGCCACCTGAAATCGCTGAAATAGCGAAGTGACCGTTGCCCATAGACATACGCAATTGCATATGCGTTGCCTTACTTTAATCGACGTAGGAGAGGATGCACAGAAAGAAAATATTTCCCCCTTCCAAAGTTCCACAGTGCGGATATACAGGATGTGCTAAAATATTTCGAAATTTACACATTTTTAAAAATAATTGATGATTGTAATTTAAAAGATAGTATCGTCTTTATCAACATAAGCTAAACATTTAAGTTGTAACAGGATATGAATCAACTATTAAAGAATTTTGCAAAATTTGAAAATTGTGTTTTTTATCACGTGACAAATAAATAAGTGACGAGCATTCGCAAAAATAGCAACTTTTGCACATAAGCAAATGCAATTGCAGATGCCTTACACACTTTTAATCGATTAGGGGATAATGGTGGGAAGGGATTGTACACTAAAAATAGACCTTGCACGTAAAGACGAAACGCATAATTGTTTCCATTTCACGCGTGTTCTCTGTGGACGTAGTATTTCAAAGGTCAAGCCAGCACATTCGTGCAACTAACATTGTTGTTGGCTTTACCATGGTTGAAAAAATGTGATAAAATGATACGTATAGGGGATTTAGTTTTTTTCTGTCCACAGAACATCGTATCGTTAGGAAGCAAATCCGATACTGTGTCGGTGTACCGGCGCAACACTAGCCTTTTTAAAAGTGTCACGTAAACGTTGACATTTTTAAATGACCCTCACTAAACATTCTGATACTTTGTAAAATAAAAGCGCGCCATTTGCACCAAATTATTTTTACTAATAATGTCTAAAAGTATAATTGTTGCATATTTTATCCTATATAATGTCTAGATTTATCATACGTATTGTATAAAATTAACCAACGATAAAACAATATTTCTTGCAGGTGCCTTTGCGGAAGCTGTATATAATAATTGCATTATAATTATTATATTTACAATGAACATACATACATATGTTAGACTTGAGTGATTTTATAACATCAGTATTATTTTTAAACTACTGTATTAAACTTAAGGCAACATTTTGATTTTATTACATTATACGTCTTATACCAACAGAGCGTCGGTGGCTCAGGGGTCAAGCACTTGGCCTGCAATTCACAGGTCCAGGGTTCGAATCCCGCCATGTACCAATGTGTTTTTTGATTTCCAATTTACATATGTACATTTATCCGACGTTCTTACGGTGAAGGAAAACACCGTGATGCAACCTGCACATATCTGAGAAGACACCCTTAACTTAGGGTAGGCTCCGAGCACCTCAGTGGGGACGTATAGTGAGCTGATGATGATGATAATACGTATAAAATAATAATAAATATAAGGGAAATTAAAAAAGTTAATATGTTTTAGATATAACATCGATATATCGATTTATAAACATAATAAAATATAAGGGTAATAGAACACGGGCCGCGGAGGAGAGCGTAAGCGTGCCCGTGGCCCCGTCCCGTTGAAGGAACAGAGAGGTTTAGTGGGTATGCCTCCGTTATGGAGGAGAATCCCACATAACTACCGCGTCCCCCCCGGGGCGCGGAGTATGCATAAAGCATTCCTCTCTGGAAAAAAAGGGTAATAGAACACAGGGTCTGCACACGGGCACTGTGCTGCACTGCCTTAAGGGCACCTGAATACTGGGCCCTGGCGCGCCAACCAATGACAGGATTACTTTTAAGGGCGCCTGATTGAATTAAGCTTTACAGACGCTAGAAGAATAGATGCTTTTCTATATATTGTTTGATATTAATTACATGTATTTATTTCAGGCACAATGGGATCACTGCCGCGCGTTTCTGTGGTCACCGGGCAAAGAGTGTCAGCACCGGCTGGACCTCTGACCAATATGATGGACAATCTAACAGCTAGAGACGCCACTGCTCTCATTTATAAAGGTACGAGTAAGATTTTGCGTAAATTTGTTATATTTTCTTTATCTAATATAGGACATAATATATCTCATTAAAGTGCTTCGTATATTAAATGCCTTAAATAAGAGACAGAAAGAGGGACAGGTAGACTTCCCGCGTCTCACACGAATCCTACTAGTTACCCGCGGCTCCGTCCGCGGGGAATTAAAAAAACTTAAGTAGTAGTCTATGTGTTCTTCCAGACTATGTTATATATGTATGCCAAATTTCATCGAGATCCGTTGAGCCGTTCTGGAGATACCTTATAAGAAACATCCATCCATCCAAACATTAATACGCATATTTATTAATGTTATTTAAACCCTAGATGAGACAAGTTGCGTTCATGTGAGCTACGCGGAACTGCAGGCCCGCACTAACGCTCTAGGCCGGGCCATTGCCGCCCATGCGCGCCCTGTCGGACCTAACAGGGATGGTGATTTCGTTATAGCCGTATGCATGGAGCCCACGCATAAGTGAGTTTAAAATATTACTTAATAATGCTTTTATAGTAATTACAATTAGTACAAAAAAACCCTTAGTAACTAACGACGTAGTTAGACTAATTTTTAAATAATTATAGCGAAGAATCTAACATTTATACATGTGTTAAAGTTTCTTAGCATTTATATACACTTAATTAATTTATGTCCTATTTTTCAGTACAATAATGACTCTGTTAGCGATATGGAAGGCGGGTGCAGCGTATGTTCCGATGGACCCGAGCTTCCCGCAGGGCAGGATCTCACACATACTAAAGGATGCGGAGCCATCCCTTGTAATATACGATAACACAGGTAAAGTTAAATATCATACACATATTTCTTACCCCACACTAACTAAATGTTACAACTATTTTGTTCTTGATGACTGCTATTTACAAACAGTCTTAAAATTCGTTCAAATTATGTTTACTTTAATTTAAATTCGAGCTCCTGTAATTTCTCAATTGCAATTATATACATTTAAAAATATGTAAGATTGCATGTATTTTTACATCAGGCGTACTTATTTCTTTTTTATTTCAGCAAATCCCTCTATGTTCTCCGGGTGTGGAATACCGGCGGTATCATTTGACGAACTATCTTTAGAAGCCAGTGGCTTACCGGGAGATAAGCCGAGCGATTCAGAAATGCTATTACAGACGACTGCCGAGAGTATTGCTATAGTTCTTTATACTTCTGGAAGCACGGGAATACCGAAAGGTTAGTTTAAGTTACTTACTTAGCTACTTTAAGCTGTAAATGTTTTGTTCGATGCAAAATAACTTTAAAAACCTACTTTTATCTTTTGATTTAATAATAATTGCTGCGTACTTGAAGATAATGATAATTGTTTTTATAATACTTTTAAAATTGAAGTTAAGTCATTTAAGTGATCGCTTAAGGCCGTCAGTGCATTGATGTGATTGTTACTTAAACTACATTAAGCACAATTGTATTGCATATGCATTTATACTTTTTTATTTGTTAATTTTAAATTGCAATATCCAAGAAATTTTATTACTCAATAATACTTTAATAAAGAAGAAAAATTGCGTAAGCACAAAACGGTAAACTAGCAAACGGCTAAACAATTTGTACCTAAATGGATAACAGAAATATGGAACATCTGTGCAATAATTAAACATTCAACAACTATTCTGTGTGATAGTTGTCGCTTGAGACATCGTCTGAGTAGGATTAAAAAAAGTTGCCTACGCATTCCATCTCGTTCCATCTCTTATCCGCCGTTTGCTTCGCTATTTCCGCAAATTCAGGTGGCCATATGCTTCTTTGCCACACTATGTTTTAAAACTTCAAGATTAATTTTCGTTCTAGGTGTGCGTCTAACATATTCTGCTATCTGCAACCGTCTTTGGTGGCAATTCCGTACCTTCCCGTACACCGAACAGGAAAGGTTCTGCGTTTGGAAGACCGCTTTAACTTTCGTAGACTCTGTATGCGAGATCTGGGGACCTTTGCTGCACGGCAGGACCCTAATTATCCTATCTAGAGAGACGACCCGAGATCCTCAGAAATTGGTTCGGGTCCTAGCGGAAAATGAGGTAAGTCAAATATACTACATATTAACGCATACCTGCATCATCCTTAGTATCTAAAGGCAAGTATTAACATTTAGAATGCTGTAGTAATATTCACCATTGAATTTAATAACATTTAATATTGCAGGTACATCGGTTGGTATTGGTCCCGACGCTACTCCGGTCTATTCTAATGTACCTCTCTCTAAACCGGTCCGAAAGACCACTACAATCCCTCAAGCTATGGGTTTGTTCTGGTGAAACTCTCAGCAAGGAACTTGCGGGACAATTCTTCCAGTACTTCGGTGATAATGAAGGCTACAAATTGGCTAACTTCTACGGAAGTACAGAAGTCATGGGAGATGTAACATTTTATGTTCTGGAACGTTCTCAGCAGTTGGACATACATCCTACGATACCGATTGGTGAGTATTTTATAGAGAAAAGTTTCGAATTATAGCACATTTTTTAAAGACAGCTTTATCACTTATTGTAAACTGAATTAAAGAAAAATTAATGTACAAATTAATCATATTATGGAAATACAATTGAATGAATCTCTCAGGCAAGCCAGTCGACAACTGCGCCATCTATCTACTAGACGAAGAGATGAACCCTGCTCGCGAAGCAGAGCCTGGCGAAGTTTGGGTTGCGGGCAGTAATCTAGCTGCAGGATACGTCGGCGGACAAGCGCCTGAGAAGTTTTGCTACAATCCTCACGCCTCGCATCCAGGTAACAAAGCTTTGCAGTCAGATTCATGTAGTCATTATAATAAGTGTAGATTTATTAAGAAACTAACTGTCAACTCCGTCCTCAAAAATTTACTAGCCCATATATTCTTCCAGACTATGTTCTAAATCTATGCCCAATTTCAGCGAGAATTATGTAGCCGTTCTGGAAATGCTTACATATTATTTTAAATAGACTACAGTTTACTCAACTGTAAATTACCGAGTAACAATGTGCTGTAATGTATACATTTCTAACAGATTTTGGCAAGCTATACCGCACTGGAGACTTCGGTGTACTGCACAAGGGAATGATCCTGTACGCGGGTAGAACGGACTCGCAAGTCAAGATCCGAGGTCACAGAGTAGATCTATTGGAAGTGGAAACCGCGGTGTCAGCCGTGGAAGGAATCGAGAAAGGTATTAAGAAAATAAAATTATGTATCTACTAGAGATTATTAAAGAATATTGAACGTTGAAACAGTGAACATAAATAGTCGAACTTGAATAAGTGATAGGTAACCAAGGGACAGCAATGGTTTTTTGATATGTATACCACAATAGGGAATTGATTACGGGGTAATAGATAGACTAACTGGATTCATGGATATAAAATTAATACCATTTTCCCAGCGGTGGTCCTCTGCTATGGACTGGAGCGTGGCAACCCTGAAGTGCTCGCCTTTGTGACCATATCACCTGACGCGAGGCTCTCAGCACACCATATTGAGGCAGCCCTGAAGAACTCTCTCACACATTATATGCTACCACAGGTAATAACTCCCTTTTACAATATATTAGTTCCAATCCAAGTTCTCTTCTACTACATTTTCACAGGCGTCAGACGAAACGCGGAATTAATTCCACTTGACGACAGCATTCTGTGTGGTATTGGTACACTTGACTAGTGGGCCATTAGTGCACCATTGACGTGCACCTACGGCTTTTATTTCTATTAAAAATAATGGCTGGAAACAGTCTTTATTAATGACAAAAACCTTGACAAAGTAAAGTAGTACAAGTAATAAGATATGCTTTAGGCATATCTTGACAAAAAGTCATTTCAAATGTATTTTTATTCTTTAGGTGATTGTGATAGAGACTGTTCCATTGTTGGTGAACGGCAAAGTAGACAGACAGGCTCTACTCAAGATGTACGAGAACACTAACAACAATGGTAAGTCATCATTGACCTCGTTTAAATTACTTTTAATTTTGTACTTCTTATAACTTTTGAAGTAGTTTCTTCCGTAGTTCCGGAGTTAAAACAAAAGGGACTAGCATAAAATGCTGTTTGTAATATTCGATAGTAATTTTAAAGGACGCATAAATATATAGAAATACTGGTGATATGTTTTTAAAAACAAAAGTATGCCATGATTTGAGCGGATAAAATTATGTGAGTGCTAATTTTATTCTTACAGATGACTCAGAGATATCTTTCGACATTGATTACACTGGAGTGGAAGCAGAGAAGTTGGAAGCAGCTAAGGTCCTCTTTGAGACGGTAGGAGAGGTCCTCGGGAGGGCAGCAAGAGGGACACTCTCGGTTAGAGCGGGATTTTACGAGCTGGGAGGGAATTCCCTTAATTCTATATACACCATCACTAGACTGAGAGACAGAGGATATTATATTGGTAAGCAGCAGAAAGTTGCAGAATAATCCTAAATATAATAGCAATTATCATGTTGATCATGTAAACGTTGGATTTAGCATTTATTTAGTTTCCCCCACAGTGTGAGTAGTTAAAATTAAATTAAAACATGTAAAACTAACCTACCTATAACCATTTCTCAGATATTAGTGAGTTTCTGGGAGCTGCCAACCTGGGCGATGTGTTAGCCCACATGAGCTCCGGTCCAGACCACGAGACCGGCGGCTACGACCACAAGTTTAAAGCAGTGGCAATGAATGAAGATCATGAGCAGCAAGTCATCGAGTAAGTGTTAACACCAAATCCAAATAACCTGTTGTTACAAGTAGCAAGAATGTTTGTGACTCGATAACTCTATAGTGACAGTTTGCAGTGCGATATACTAAATAAATTGGATCAGAAAACAGTCATCGTAGACTTTCTTACAAAAATACACGTAAATTCTAAATTATGAATTTATTATTTTTCAATGTTCAGCATGATCGTATCATCGTTCTACGAGAAGGCGGAGTTGGAACAGTTTTTGAAACACGAAATCGAAACGGAGGACTATGCGCACTGCATCAGAGCTTGCTGGGCCGCGCTGTTGCAGGCTAGGCTCAGCGTTGTGCTAGAAGATCGTGAGTATATGATACGATAGACTACACTAATGAGTCTTCCAGAAGAATCACCTCTTCAAGGCAAAGGTCTAATTCGATCAATTTAGATATTTTTTTCAAAATAATCGAATTATTGGTTACTATCAAACCACTATTCATGAAGTTAAAAACACATTGACAGTTTTATTCCGTAGATAGAATTTGGCGAGAAGAACACGCGATATAGAACATATTAGTCACGAAATGCTAACTTAAATAAATGTAATAATATTTTCAGATTCTGGAACACCTGTAGCGGTTGCATTGAATTTTGACGCACGGGACGAGCCTGAGATTGAATTAAACGGCGGTCTTGCCAAAATCATGACATTCCTTGAATTCGTTGAGAGCTCAGTTAGAGATACCATGCTGCCTGAAGGAAAGGGTAAGCTTATCTATATCAACATTTAATTTCATTCATAAATCAAATCCTTGGTCCTTCGAGTCTGACATATCAATGTTTTGTTACAAAGGAACGATTCTGCACTCATTCATGATGGCAACAGCATCCTCATTGAGCCCACAAGACAACGTGGCGGCAATACGTGCCCTGGAACATGCCACTATGAGGATTGCACGCGATAGACGATTCCATGGAGTGTTCACTACAAACACAAGCCCGTTGACTCAGGTAAGATGTTACTTAACAATATCTGGGGGCAGTGCCCCCGCTAAATCAAGTAAATTTGGATAGTCGTCACCGAAAGGACTGAGCCTAGTGCGCAGGCTGTATCTCATTTTTTTTCTTTCACGGTAGGGACGGGGGATAAATTTACACATGACATTTTAAAATCGAAAAACAGGTGGCACATGTCTGGGATCGTATCTGGACGTATAAAATACACCAATGCTCTAAATCAAGACCAACGATTAGTAATTAAGTATAACCTTATTTAATTATTCTTTACAGCAACTGGGTACTGACGTGCTAGGCTTCCAAACTTTACTGGATTACCAAATAAACGAATACATCGACCCTAACGGAGACAGAATTTTCGGAAAAGCGCCTGATGACATGAGAGCTATCGTCTGCTGGAAACCTATTGAATAGTTTTGCTATTTAAAAAATATAGGTATCTTTACTCTATGGTATTAGTAATGTTAAGGCATAGACTAATGCACTTCCTAATAGAATAAAAAGACATCCAAAGTAATAGCAATGTTATGAGTTGTGTGAATTCGTTTTAAGTTTTTTTTTTAAACTCGACATCAATTTAAACCTCTATGGCCAGTCGACGATAAGCAAGAGTTATATAAAAAAATGTTTTGTTTTTTAGTTTGCACTGCCTAAATATAGGATATATTTTTATCTGCATTAAATATAGCAACATTTTGTAATATGTCTATTATTGTGAAAAAAATACAATAAAATTTATGACGCAAAAAATCGGAAAGATTGGTCTTAAAGTAAGTATCCAGGACATTCCAAGTAGTCTTGTTAGGCTTTATTGGCTAGCACTAAACAATTATTATTAATTAGATTAAATATAATAGTGTGATATATAGATTTAGGTTACTTAGTATTTATATTACATAATTAAAGTACAAAATGTAATATATATGATTATAATTGTTAGTAAACCACAGTTATAACTTATTTTAAGTTAACATTGTAATAATGTTCATAATAAATTCATAAATTCGTAAATTCGTAAATTACAAAAATCTTTTATGGCAACATTGCAAGTTTGTGGAGAAAGCTATAACAATTATGATTAGATAAAACATTCCCAGTTTTGTAAACAGTGATAAATATTATATTATTGTATTATAGTGTTAATTTTGACAGTCATCGGATTTCTAAATAAGATCTCCACATCAAGAATATTGTGATAAATATTAATTTTGTTTAATTTTAATTGTTACGAATTATTCTATAATTATTATTTCAAAATAAAATTGTAAAAGAAATTATGTTTTATTACTTACTTTAAAAAAAAATCGTGGAATGGAACGGACGGTTTGGCGGCAAATTATTTTAAAATGGTGACGTTACATGTTTGCGTAATTATAAATATTAAAAGTAAGTATAAATAAAACTGTACAGCTTTATTAATTTAAATGAGTATTATACTTAAAAAAAACAACATCCTTCAAAGTTCAAGCGATTTTAAAACATACCTTTTAAATGTTCAATTTGGAGCTACGCATCTTCGACTGCTATTTTTCATAAAAGCCAAGGCTCACATAAAAAACACATTAAACGCACAATTAAAAATACATATTAGGAAGCCTCAAAGTTATTTACACTTTAGTTAGTTACATTTTAACACTTTCTTTCCTACATTTAACACTAAAAATTTTAACAATGACCTACCGTTAAACATAGGCTTATACAGACCAGAGATTAGACGAATCGTAGAAGTGATGCCAACATAATACCAAAGAAAGTGGCCAGTTATAAAAAATTACATTGAATAATTTGTTGAATTAAATTTGTCAAACGTAAATAATGATGATTGCTTGAGTTGAATTAAAGATGAACAATTTAAAACTATGTTTATTATATCACCAGTCGCTCGCGACTTCTTTCGCGCGGAATAAAAAAAACTTAATTAGTAGCTTTTGTGTTTTTCCATCTGGAGTTCTAGAGATACCTCCAAACATACAGCCATCCAAACATTCACATTAAACATAAAAAGAATTTGCTTGGATTTGATTTTGAAATAAAAATCATATTAATATTATAACGTTTATTTAAAAGTGCAAATATCAACTACAGATAATTGTAGTATTATTTTGACAATAAATGCGTTTATTCAGTATTATTAAAAAAACAACATACACTATTCTACAAGACTAGAAAATACTTAGGTAACAAATACAACAATTCCTAACTTTTTTTTTCTAAAAATCGTTTAAATTGATTTTTTTTTGATAAAATTGACTAGAACAGTTTAAGTAACAGATTATTTAATAATTTTATCTAATTGTACATTTTAATATTAAATAAAATCTATAGATTTTGGAGAAAAAAAAAGTAATTTTTTGTCAACAACCTTCATGGTTAATTACAAGTTTGAAATGTCTATATTTTATAAATTTTCCTCTAATCAAGTTAAAACTATTTAACTACCATTTTTTGTAACAATTATTTCTTCTCTAAAATTCTACTTTTTATTCCCTAAAATAATATTTATATTAGAGAAAGCAATCGCCTATTTATTAGATGAAAATCTAAGATTAAAATTTCTTGTAAAGGCTTATTTCATCTAACAAAAGGCATAAATTAAAAAAAAAAAACGATTGATCGTATAGATAATTTAAGGAAAGAGATAACTGTATGATTTCCATCTCGTTCACTCACTCTTCAAAATCTACTAAACCGTTTATACTGCAAAACTTCACAACGAGAAATACAAATAAATAGAAGCCATGCGTTAATCATCAACCAAAAAACCCATATATTTTAGCACTTCAGTAATAAATCACTTTTAAACACGTTCCATGACACTATTCCGCAAGTAAGCTCGCCAGGCGAGTCGATGGCAGTGATAGTGTTAACAGAACCAAGTCTTAACCGGAGGCCTTGAGCCGTCCGTAGACAGGCTCTGTCACATACCAATACCTGTCACCCCGTACTTTGCCAATTCTGGTACATTAATATCATCCAAATCCGGTTTGATCGAGTTATAACCGGTCAAATCCGGTTTCGATTGAATAAAATCCGGTTTAACGAGTACGTAATCCTCAGTGCCGTCGTTCAGGTCTATTATCGGGTCTTTTGGTATTCCATCGTAGTTCCCAGTAATGTTTGCCTCGTTTAGGAGTTTTAGGGATTCTTCTAAAGCTAGTGTACGGTTATGTTCAGGCGTGTGTCCGCTAGTGGAGGGCGTGGTGGTGTTGCCAGATCTGCGATGATGGAGAGAATTGTTGGTGGAGCCGATGTACGGAGGCGGTTGAGGTCTGTTGTAGCTGCCGGCTAAATTGGTGCTCGATTTCGGACTGTACGGTCTGACAAGACTGTTGTTGGGACTGAAAAAAATATAACAATTTTTTAAATCGCATATTATTTCTAAATTACTATAAGGTATGCTTGATTGACTTTAGTCCATTGATGTAAAATAATTAAATTCTATTAGACATCTCTATATTGTGTTGCCATTGTGAAAAATTTTCTAAGCCCCTATAACTTTTATAATTAAAAGTTATCGCCCGCGGATCAGTTCTTGCGAAATTTAAAAAATCTTGATTAGTAGCCTATATGTCTTTCAAGACTATCTGCCAATTACTTGTAGTAAATTTTAGCGAGTTTTATGCAACCTTTCTGGAGATACCTTCTCACAAACATCCATCCATCCGATCATTCGCATTTAAATTTGTAATATAGGGGTTAATGGAGTATTTATCAGAACTTTATGGTATAACAATTTTGTATTGATTTATCTTACTTATATTATAAATGCAAATGTTTGGATGGATGTTCATTGGAAGGTATCTCCAGAACGGCTACATAATTCGACGAAATTTGGCAGACATATAGAACATAGTCTGAAAGAAAACATTCGTTACTAAGTTTTTTTTATAAAATGTTACCTGACTCCCAAACTCTTGTTACTGTTGTTATCATTGACTTGTGTCTGGTCAGTGTTGCCAGTGCCGTATCTGCAAAGTTCCACCCTCCCTGTTTTCTGAGCTCTAAAATATAATAAAAAATGTTATCTGTGGTACTTTAATTTCTTGTTAAATGCTGGTTAGAAAATAACTTATATGAGAAAGCATTAAAAAAGCACGGAATTAAAAAATCTTAATTCTATTCACATAGGCTATTCTTAAAATAGCCTATGTAATAGCCTATGTGTTCTTCCAGACTATTTGTATGCCAAATTACAGCGTGATCCGTTCTGGACATACCTTCAAACAAACACCCAACCATCCAAACACTCGCATTTATAATATTAATAAGAATTAATATAAAAAAAGCGTAAGATGTAAAAACTAAAAATTAGTACCAAACTATGCAATGCCGAATATATTATTTTTTTCCTAAACCAATTAAAAAAACACAGTATTTTTTTGGATTGTTAAATTAATTAAGTTATTTTGAGGTTATTAAATCTTTTTAATAAAGTTTCATTATACAATCTAACCTCTTTTTTCTATAATCAATACAAATATGATAGATATTTTCTAGAAAATATTCAGATTCTGGATCAGTCCTGAAATAATTACAAAAATTATTTAGTACTATCACAGAGCAAGAGTGTATAGTGCTATTCAAACTTTACGATGGCTCGAAATCGTACAAGATGTTGCACAGAACACCATGTTATGTAAGGAACGTAAATATATATGTAGACCCATAGTTACATTTAATTACACCATTGTGAAAACTATCTAATCTTTAGATATCTTGCCTTCTAGAGGAAGTTATAGTCAGTTGGTTCACTAAAACACATGATGACATTGCCACAGTAACGCAACGGAGCATCTTCCATTCTACAAACCACTTGGTACCTGATCACATTAGCGGTCGTATATAACCACGAGCAGTCATAACGTTTGAATCTTATTATACTAGTAGTTATAATAATTACGTCATTCATCATCAGCTCACTATCACCCCACAGAGGGGCTCGGAGCCTACCTTAAGTTAGGCGTGACTAGGCCATAGTCAACCAGTGCAGGTTGCATCACGATGTTTCCCTTCACCGTACGAACGTCTGATAAATGTATAGGTATATGTAAATCGGAAATAGAAAAACACATTGGTACATGGCGGGATTCGAACCCAGGACCTGCAGATTGCAAGTCAAGTGCTTTACCCCTGACCCACCGACGGTCTTCCAAGAATAATTATAAATAATTATTACTTACATAGCTGCATATCTGAAGCATAGGACCGCAGTAAGAGCAGCAATAGCGACACAGAGTAATAACAGCGGCGGTGCGACAGCCGCGACCAGCTGACGTGCGACACTACGCTGTGGCAATGCACGTCGCTCCGGCGCAGACCATTGTTGTCTATCCAGTACACGTGTACTCGATATGCGACTTGTGTTAGGTAACTCTGTTAGGTATTCTAGGTGTATGGTTGAACGTGGCTTGTATATTGTGTTGTACTGGAAACGAAGTTGTTTATTGATTAACAAAAAGGGAAGTAGCCTATGTCTTATTCCATCTGGGTCATATTTCATCAAGATTCGTTAAGCCGTATTCGAGAAACGAAGTAACAAACATCTATCTATCCATACAAACTTTTGCTTTTATAATATTAGTATTGTTAGCAAGAAAACCCGACACTGTGCCGGTGTACTGTCACAACACTAGCCTTACTTAAATGTCAACTTTTATGTCCCCTCACTAATCATTCTGACAGTTGACATTGTAACGAAAGCGCGCCATTCGCGCCAAAGGATTCTAACTAATAACGTCTAAAAGTATGAAGTATGATAAATGCAATATTTTAAAAGTAAATATTAATTTAATTTGCTAGTAAAACTGTACTATGAAGGCAAAGAACACAAATCAAATGACACAAGTTAGTAAATTGCATAAATAAGAACCTATTTCCACTGAGCCGCTAGCAAAGCGCGAGCGGCGCGTTTCTCCATTCGCAATGGAGTCTCGTGCTAAGTGGAAATAAGCATTAAATAGTAGTTGAAAATAAAACACTTACAAGTTCAAAGCTGCACCAATCTAGAGTGAAACCGGCGTCCCGGAATAACCTTTCCACTGTAGTACGTTTATATTCCCGGGGACAGCTGGGGAGCCGGGATAGAGGACGTACTTCTTCTCTCAGTCTTTTCAGCTCAGAAGAAAACGGAATTGAACTACCGAGACGTACAACCAAACTGGCAAAAAATAATTTATATATTTATCTTTAATCTTGTTTAAGATTTAATATAACAAAATATGAAAATACAAAAACTTACCCCTCCCCGTCGCTAGGTTTCAGTGGGAGCCGAGCTCCTAAATCAATAGCTGAAGACAGGAAGGTCGGATACAAATCCTCCTTGCTCTCTGTCCATAACTTCATCCTTAGGATGTCTTTGAGGCGTGTCATTCTGGAATATACGATAGCAGTGAACTTAGCAATAATTACTATGGCAACGGGTGAACAATAGTGAAATAAAAAAAATTAGAAGCTGTTCTTCCAGATTATGTTCTATTACTGTGCTAAATTTCATCAAGATTCGTTAAGCCGTTCTGAAGATATCTTGTTACAATCATCCAAACAATCGCATTTGTAATATTAATATGAATTATGATTTCGCAAATAGATAGAAAGCCAAGTAAATGTTGCTTATACAATAAACACCAAAAGAAATTGTTTACCTATGATCATCGAGTAGGTCTTCTACATTCAAGTTATCTATTTTGAGTTCGACTTCGTGACGCGCCATGTTTTCTTTCGGCTTAACATTCAATACGACTAGAACACGCCGAGTCTCGTAGTCTTGACGATTGAGACCGATTACCTCTAACTGAGAAAAACAGATCATTTAATATCTACTGCCTTCTTTAGAGCTTAGCATTATTTGCTATTTAGATTAATATCAGTTTTTTTAAATAAAATAATAGCAGATTTTTGTGAATTTACTAATATTTCTTTCTACCATTCCAACTAAGCTCTAGGTTTGTGCTAGGATATGGTTTACGACAATAGTCGAATGAAGGGATCCGAACTCTCGACCACGTGATCGCAAATCCGTTCATTTAACCATTAGGCTATTGACGGTTAACTGGCGTTTAACAAATAATAAACGCACGCAGAGTGAACCGCGCGGTCAGAATCACGCGACTAGTGGAAAAAGGGTGTTCTACAATATTTGACGTAAGTTCCATAGCCATTCACTGACGTCACTATGATTACGTCAGCGTCATTAAAACGCATAATAAATTCGTGATTTTTTTTATTGTTCAGAAATATCTCATTGCATACATAATGAACAATGATAGTTTTAAATTAAGTACTTCCCACGTATAATAAATATGTCTTGTTCTATTCAGTATGATAAATACGAATTTAACAAGCGATCAGATTCAATGGAGGTTTGAATTGTCGTTTGTTATAATTCCAGCCACTGAGATTCATATTACACTGTAAATGTTAAATGGACTCTTTGAAATCAATTAGTGAATACTTTCAAGGACTTAACGGTTTTAACCCTAAAACCAGGTGCGGACTTAGGAGTATAATTATATCGTATAAAAAATATGAACAGAAAAATATTAATTGAAAATTAATTCATCATCATCATCAGCTCACTATACGTCCCCACCGAGGGGCTCGGAGTCTACCCTAAGTTAAGGGTGACAAGCCATAGGCTATACAGAAAAAGAATTTAACAGTCTTAAAGTCCGATACCATGCTGCAAAACATTCATTGCAGTGGGAGTAAAATGAACTTAACAAATTCGAAGTTAAAAGTTCTTAATTCAAGCAGAAAATATCGACGACAATCAATTTTTATCATCGTCATCACCTTATACTACTAGAGGTCCAGCCTTATAAGCCTTAATATTTGCTTTTTAATTCGATCATCTTTAACCAGTTATATAAATACTTACAGTTATCGAGGATTCCGTTCCTCTCGGCGGCGTACCGAATATAAAACCGGAGTGATGTCGGCTGCTGTACACGTACCGCAGCCATGATGGTAGCTCCGGCTTGCCCTTTAGTGATGCGTGAAAACGATATTGCTCCTCGAATTCTAAAATATGAATAATTGGGCTAGATTATACAAGATTCAAATATGTGCAACTTACGCTAAGACATGGTTCAATTCCGACGGCACATATTAATTTGTAAACTATTTATCAGTGAGAAATCAATCTTACAAAATATTTCTTACTGAGAAATGACCATATAATTATCAACGACATAATAAACGAGATTTTCTTAGGAGATAATCACATAATTCTTGACTATTCTTAAAATTATATCACAAGACTTAGAGCACATTATGTCTTTCTTATAAAATTTATAAAAACTTAAGAAAATAAGACATAAATTGGAATAAATCGCATATAACGTACCATCTTATGTTGTTGTACATGATTAGTAGGAGGTTGACGACTGTTTAACATTTTTTAAATTATTTATTTCATTAATTTTAAATTAAATATGTTCCAGATATTAAAAACATATAATATTATCAATAGTTACTTTTTCATTTTAATTATTGTTTAGTTAAAACATAGAGCTGCATATTCTATCAAGCGATATTTAACTACCTATACTTTTTACTTGCAGCATTTATGGTATAAATACGCTTGGAAACGAAAGTTCATCGTAATGTTATCGAAAAGAAATATTACGTGCCAAGAACTTACCCTGATAAGTCCAGTTAAATAAATTCGGTGTGATAGGAACGGCAAACATTTCCGTTTCGACGGCATTATTAATGTTTTGTGAATATACAACAGCTGTCAGCAATGTCAGAGTTAATAGGACGCGCATTTTCGTTATAATTGCCTAAAAAAAACAAAACATCGTTTTACAAGTGCAAATCTAAAGCAGCATTCAACAAATCGTTTAAGTAGTTTGGGTTATGTTGAAAAATAAATTTATTATTACACAAACATTGTTCGCAGTGGAAACAAGACCTAAATAGCTCATCATTACCATTATAATTAACTAGTCACTGTATTAAATGAATAAGCACATGAAAATGAACTGAATCACTCAAAGGAAAACATTACTATCGATTTCCATTCTATCCTTTCACAAAAGGTTGGACACTGAACTGAAAACGTATCGCACATGTGCAGAACTGGCACACTTCACAGAGAGGAATTTGAAATTAAACATTTTTATAAAAAAAAATTACAAAAGCTACTATAGCTATAGAAATTTACATATTACGTCAATCATTAATTCTACCAAAGCATAACTAATTGTAACTACGATTAATAAGACAGGTTACTATTGTTAGATAGTTATTGCTATCTAAGTACGCAATACACCAGCTACGTAAGCTAAAAGTATTAAAATATAATGACAGTAATTTACATCATGAATATTTGCTTCCTGAGTGAACACCCTTTTTATTTACGATTTACGTTAAAAATATACGCAAGTGCGTCCCTGAAAACGGGGCGTGACGTAAACCGAGAACCGACGTCATTGGTCAACATGCATTCGATGGAAGTGTTTTGGTATCGAAAATTACGTTCCGTTACACATTTTTATGTTTTAACATCGTTCTTCAACTGTTTGGAATATTAATAATTTTCTTATAAATTAAATTAAATCACCTATTTATGTAACAATAATTTGAAAAACGTAAATAAATCCTTAAGGTTTTTAAATTAAGCTAAAACTAGGGGAGATAACGGCGAAAGTACTGTTTTTATAGAACTGTTCGCGGTATTGTAAAACAAAACGAAACCCATTCATTTACAAATGTCAGAAACAGAAACCTCGGAAAGTTGAAAGGGCGAGGAGGGCCATTCGGGTGATTTTTGCAGTTTCATTACAGAAAGAATTGTACGCGGGGATAAAATAACAATCGAAACAACTATAATGTTACCAGCGGCGGTTGAAGGCAGAGTGTTCGCGCGCGAAATCCGCTTCAACGCCGTATAACAATGTCGGGACAGTTCGATATTCCAAATTGTTTTTAACTTAGTAACGCCTCCAGGATCATGTTGAAATTTAAAAAAATGGGCTCGGATAAAGTGCCGTTACTGCTTGTTACTGCCAACGTTGGATCTATATTCGAAGACGTAAGTGCATACAGTAAAATGTATCTTTTTAACGAGATGATTAAGCGACATTAATGTGATTACCCACACAGTTTTCAATTAAAATATTGCGCGGTTAGATTGTATTCTATATTTGAAACAAGAGGATTATCGACCGTTTAACATTGTCACGCCTTGTACTGATCGATAATAAAGAGATTGGCGCAAAAGAAATCTTATAAGATTTCTTTTATAGAATTATATTTCGATTTGAATCCTTACAACACAGATAGTAATATTCTTAATATTAATAACATTTCTAAATGTGTAGATATTTTTTATTGTAGATTAAGTTAAGGAAACTGTAGTTTACCTTTGCTGTTTTTATTATCAAGTTTAGATTAATTTCCATAGTTATTTTCCTTCTTTTGTATATTAAATTAGTTTAACTAAAACAAATTGCCAGAATGTAAAAAACTGCATATGAAAAAAGTCACTTCAGATAAAAGCTTAAAATATTAGGATATTTGTATTGCTACTTATTTTGCACTCCCCTTCGGATATGCTCATAATGTGTCTAAAAAATATTGTTCCTTGCTACAGACTTTTATTAATATATCGGGAATCCCACTGTGACTCCACTTGTGTAAAATCATATAACAATTTCAGTCTCTGATTTGCGATAATTATTTTATAAAATGTAGCTGTCGGAACATTTTATAAAAATCCTAACATAAAGTTTATTTGGGTATGTTTTCATGTAACCTTGACAATAATTTGATAATCACTTCCCTTCACTGTATTAAAGCTATTCACCTACTTTTATAGTGCAGATAAATGAAATTATAAATTACTAACTATTACCTATGACTCCAATGAATAAAAAAATAAATTAGTAGCCCAAATGTTCTTCCAGACTATGTTCTAAGTCTATGCTAACTGGTAGGGACATTTGTTGAGCCGTTCTAGAGATATGTTCTAACAAACATCTAGCGAACTGTACATCTAAATATCTGCATTTATAATAGTAGCAAGATAGCATATAGTGATCACAAACTGAAGAATTCCAATGTAAGACAAACTCAATAGTCCAGTAGTTAATTGTTAATAGGATTGGATTTAATCGATATATATATAGAAGTTAACAGGAATTTATTGACATGGTGGTAAGGACATCATCAGTTTTTTCCTATTGACATAAAAGCCTGTAACTACTAATTTTATTTATGTTAATTTAACAAACACATAACTTCACTGCCTAGTATAGCAGTTTGTTATAGATGTTTTCAAATATCTTGGTGGCTCGTAACATCACACAAACTGCACAGAACATAATGTAAAGTGGAGCGGTGTAGAGGCTACTTCATAGAGCATGGATAACCTTGAGCCACCAAAATATTTGAAATGATGTATTTAATTTGCTATTTCTTTTTAGTTTTATTAATTATCTGTTTACTTTGAATCATAAACAATTGAGTGTTTATAGCTTCTAAATTTTTACATAACAAGATATGTTTTTAACCTTGTATTTGACCTGTATTTAAAAACAATTACATATGACCTTATCCTCTAATATCTGATCAAACATTAAATCAAAGCCTATTATTTTTGCAATAATGATTACAATCTTTATGTTATTTCAAAAAGTAATTGCTTTGCCTTTATTTAAGAAATCTTTTAGCTCGCTAAGATTTAAAAAGAGGGATAAATATTTATTACACTAATATTATAAATAGAAATTTTTAGATGGATGAATGTTTGTTTAAAGGTATCTCCAGAATGGCTTAACAGATTTTAATGAAATTTGACATAGATGTACTATATAGTCTGGAAGAACACATAGGCTACTACGCTTTTTTTAATTCACGCAGACGGAGTCTTGGGCGACAGCTATTTACTTATAGAACTTGCTTTAAACAATTGTAACTGACCAAATTAAAGTTATTGAAAAATTAGCCAAATGTAGTCAACTATTACTCATTTGTAATTTTGTTAACGTCACTATAGTTAGGGATTAATATTTTTGAACATTTTTCCTGTTTGCATGTTTTATTACGTAAATATATCCTGTTTAAATGACGTATATTCAATGTGCATTAACAACATCCTCTAATATACTAAACTATGATTTGTTATTTAATGAACAAAATATAAACAGCAGGACCGTCCACAACAATATTAATGCAACCCAATGAAGAATTTAGATCCTCTAAAAATAGTAATATTCTTTTCAAATGTCTTAGCGGCTCAAGGACATAGGGCGCGCTGCGCATAGCCTTCCCATCGCATCCCTCGACGCCCCGCTACACCTAAAATTGTGTTCTGCGCAGGAACTCGTGCGAAGTTAAGTCCTTGCACACCAGAGTTAAGACGTCTCAGATCAAGGCTGGTTTTAGCATTTCCAGCACCAAGGGGAACATTTTTACGGCACCCTCGTTTTTATCGGGGGAAATCTTCCAAGTATATCGCATCTTAGGGGGCATTGCGGGGGGGCAAGCGCAAGAGGCGGATATAAAGGGTCGGCTGCGGTGCTCCCTTATGTCCGGCGCCTTGGGCAGCCCCACCTCGCCATAACTTAACGCCGCTGATGTCCTTGGTATAAAGCTTGGTCCCTCACCACTGAAAATGACGTAAGGATGTCGACAGCGTTGGTCTTTAAATATTTTATGCAGTTAACCACGAGCCGAAGAAAAGCTTGAATCTTTTAATACGTGAATACAAAAACCACAAGTTGAATATTTCAATTAACTTTTAAACTATACAGCAATCATAGTTATCAGTAAAAATTAGTTTAGTCATTTTTCTAGGCAATCTGTTTATTCAAGGTCATTTAAAATACAGGATAAGTAAACTCGTCTACATACGGTAATAAATGTGTCATTAGTAATCTTCCACACAGAAGACAG